TCTTGTCTTAGATATATTTTTATTATGATAAAATAGCACTCATGTCAAAATGCCTAAGTATCATAGTAATAAATATATAATAAATACTTATATCTAGAGTGAACCTTGACATATATAAGATATCATCTCATGATTTACGTGGGGTTTTTTTTAAAGTGTTGGCTGATATCCAGTCATAGGAATGCATAAGATATTTATCACAGAGCATATTAGAAAGAAAGAAAAATAGCAAGAAAGGTAAATAGACACAAAAGAAAAAATGTAAAAAGGACAAGATAACCCAGAGAGGTAATGAAACAAGTCTTAAGTCTTATTTACTCAAAGAAAATTCCTTCCCCATGTCCCCTAACCTAATACTTAATACATCGTACTATTGTTTACTTGAGTATTTCACTCTCTAGCTCCCCACACTGTAAGCTCCATGCAGACACTGAATGTTCTTTTCTTAGTGCCTAAAATAGTGTCTGGCACAAAGTAAGAATTCAATATGATTTGCTAAATGGATACATGCATAGTAGTATTTCATTCAAATAAATACTGAATGAAGAAAGAAGTTTCTTAAAATTTCTGCTCATATGGATTTGATAGAATGAATATGAAAAACATAGGTGTTAGAAAAGGTATTAAAATTCTGGTTAAAATAGAAAATATTAGGCATGAATTAATACTATTCTATTAATGCTCTAACAAAGAAATAATCCAAAGAATAAGGTTGTCATTGGGTGGGGGGCAGAGATCTATGTCAAATTATCTTACAACAAAAATGCTGAAGATACTTGGGAAAATTTCTATATCCCATTCAGATAGTGATGTCACTAGAGATTTACCCTTTTACTAATTAGGCAGTGGTCAGAATACTCCTTCAAAATAATAAAAATGTCCAAGTAACTGCCTTGTGTTTTGTTTTCATCAAAGTATTATTTTATCAGAAAATCTGTGGCAATATTTAAAACGGAAATAGGCTCAGAAGAAAATTACCAATACTTTGTTGTTTTTTGGTTTGCTCTCTTGTATTTACAGGGAAAATTTTATCTTAGAAACCATTTTTTTCTTCCAGTAAAAAAACAAAGATGGGACCAGCCTGGTGGTGCAGTGATTAACTTCGTACACTCTGTTTCAGTGGCCCAGGGTTCACCGGTTTGGATCCCGGGTGCAGACCTATGCACTGCTTATCAAGCTATGCTATGGCAGGTGTCCCACGTATAAAGTAGAGGAGCATGGGCATGGATGTTAGCTCAGGGCCAATCTTCCTCAGCAAAAAGAGGAGGATTTGTGGTGGATGTTAGCTCAGGGCTAATCTTCCTCAAAACAAAAACAAAAACAAAGATACTGGCAAAAGTAACAGTCCTCTTTTGATGCTACTTTATACTATCATGTACTAGTTTAAAACCAACCATATACTTGGTTTTCTGAAAAGGCTCACAAGTCATCATCATATGAATGTACCATATATTAGTAATATAAATTCTTTAATGCATTTCTGAATTTTTTAAGTGTCTCAAAAAACCAAAAGAACAAATATTGTAAGCCATCATTTTCTTATGGTTAAGCTTCTCAAAACAGTTTCAGCAAAAATAGAATATTCAAACTGATGAGCAGAGATAAATCATTCTGACAGGCTTTCCAGTCATCTTTCTAGCTTGCCCATTATTTACTGGTAGATATAACAATATAAATACTATATAAATCCATGCCAGGGATATTTATGCTAAGCTACTGAGCACTTGCACCATAATCAAATGAGGCTTAAAATAACTCTCACAACACACCAATTTCCCATGTAAATGTTATTAAAATATCAGGCAACAGGTAGGTAAATTATTTAGCATGATTAATAGCATTTACATTGCATAGTTATAACAAGCATGAATGCTTTCATAAATGCATTCAAATAATAGTAAGATATGAGAAAATCTTTAAAATTTAATTAGTCAATCGTATAAACTATGCTCTGAAAAGTATAGGTTTCCTTCTAATTCTTCTAAGGATTATTAGCAATTCAAATATATCATTAAAAATTTCATACCAGGAAGGCCAATCATATTTAATACGATGTAAGTTTAGAAATAAACCTACTTATTTTTTCTTTGCTCTCACTCCAATTTTTGCTTCCCTAAATTCCTCAAAGAAGAACTATTAAGGAATAAAAGGAAAAGATGTTTTTAAATATGTCCATTTGCACACCTCTGTCTTCATGTGTGCCTATACTTTCTGCTAAAGTAAGTATCCAGAGTAGGGGCCATGTTTTTATGATGCCAACTATTTGACTCCAGTTTGAATGGATTCAGTAATGGTTCATCCATGATAAAAGGAAAAAAGTGACACAAGTTAAAGTTTCTGTGGTTATTTCTCATCAGTGGGTACTCCAAATAGTTACAGTACCCATAAATATATTATTATCCAGAAACTTATCTTTTGAAATCTAATTTATGGCCCTCATTTAATATGAAATAAATCTTTTCATTACTTCCTGGGGAAGGGTGAAGAGTAGCAATCATTTCTTGATGGTTCTATTGTGAATACTTTAGAATATTTAGAGATTCAGTATTTTGTTTAATAAGATTCTTCTTTGTTCACTTAGACAATTGAGGGCAGGTGAAATATTTTCAAAATCTGGAGAATACCCAATGTGCATATGCCATCTTGATTGAACATATGGAATACATACTTGGAAAAAAGCCAACTGGAGACCTGCTTGAGTAATCTAAACACCCAAGCTGAGAGGGGTTAATATAGAAAGATCAGCTTTGAACTTTGAAGTTTTCTGGGCTTCATTCTGCCTAATTAAGACAAGATTTAATAATCAAACCACTGTACAAACATGTACCTAAAAGTAAACGTTTGTTTCTAATTTTGAGACGAATTCTTAACAGATTCCAAGGAATCAGCTCCACATGGGAGAAGGTCTCTGATAAGATTTGCTTCTCTCATTGCTAAAATGCAAATACCTGCTTTTCATCTTAGTTTCTTCCATGTGACTGAGTTTAGCATCTGCCTGTCAAAATCTCGAGTGTGATACCAAAATATAAATCCCGATATTAGCATACCATCTGAGCTTGAAGCAGTGGCAAATCTAGGTCATAAAAAATGTATTCTAACATATTCTTAAAGGTATTCATAGGAATCACTTGTAGACGATGATTTCAAAGGGATCAATTTACCCAATTTACGTATAATAGAAAATACATATGCACTAATAACTAGGAAATAGAACTTAGTAGCAGAAGGAATATCTATAATCCAATACTAATTTTATAAACAAACCTAATTCCAGACCAAAATATTAGGAGGCAAAAAGTAGGATTCTCAGTCTTTCCCTCCACATAAATTTTTTCCCTGGACACTAGACAATTTTTCAATACCCAGTAGTTTTCAGTAGTGCTGAGAGGCCACAAAACAAACCAACCAACCTAACTCTACCAAAATACAGCAAACATATGCAGAGGCACAGTTAAGGCACACGTACAAGATAGAAGCTGCTTCTTCCCTGACGAGACTCATTTTATACAAAATTTGATAAATTTGCATAAATGCTGTAGCAATAAAACAGGCATTAATCTGATGATATAAAAAGAGTCTGTAATATAGTGAAATATAGTCTGCAGTATAGTGAAAGATGGCACAAGAGGCAATTGCTACTGCCAGCCATCCGCACCCACCACCCTCCCAATCCCACTCACATACACATCATCTTTGAAAGCTGAAGAATTTCTGTTCAATAGTGTGGTCTTCAGCCTATGCTCCCTTCTTGGCTCTGCCTTATGAAGATGGAGGCCAAAGAGAAGAGAAAAATTCTAGCCCCATCTGCAAGAGGTTAGCACATGATAAAGGCCCTCTTCTCCTATTGCTATCAGAAAGATGATTAGACCTTGGCCCATGAGGTTTTGTTTTGTTTATATCAAAATACAATAAAGTATTTAAATACTAAGCCAATTTCTAGCTATCCATTTATCAGTAAATAGGACATCATTTCTCAATATAATGCCTCTTTACGATATTTACAGGTGATAAAGTAATAAAGGACAGTGGATAGAATCTTGATACTCAGGACCTTAACATTTTCTAGGAGTGAGAGGACTCTGCTTAGTAAGCCTACCATAGCAGAGAGTAGTGGCAATACTGTACAGACCAATTTTGCTTACAAATTCATTGAAAATGCTTTACTGGCCTGTTTGATATCATTATATTATAATCACTGTTTCTTTGTGGTTGCCTCAGCAGGAGAGCTCCAAAGGATGTGGTATGATAGAGGCATGCGCTGTCCATTTCAGCCAGAATAGGACTGCCAGAAAGAAACTACCACAAGTTTCTGAGAAACTGCTTCAAACGCCGTTTGGAACAAAACGAGGCATGCTAAAAAATAAGTATAACATGGATACACACAAGTTGCCAAACTTATTGGCTCTAATCTTGTGATTCAACTCTACCTCAAGCCTTTACTGCAATACCAAAAAGTGGGGCTTTGCACACTTGTGCCTGTGTGTGCTTATGTATTAAAATAGGTACTCAATGATAAAGATCTTGTTGATCTATAATCCCAATTTTGCTACAAACATCTAGAGCATATAATGATGGTGAAAACACTGATTTTGTGATGGTGTCCTTGAGCCCTGAAAGCAGGGCTAGGATGACAATCTCTTTTTTTTTTTTAAGGAATATTAACTCTGAGCTAACATCCACTGCCAATCCTCTTTTTGCTGAGGAAGATTGGCCATGAGCTAACATCTCTGCCCATCTTCCTCTACTTTTTGTATGTGGGATGCCTGCTACAGCATGGCTTGATAAGTGGTGCTAGGTCTTTGCACAGGATCCGAACTGGTGAACCCTGGGCCGCTGAAGCAGAGCGCACGAATTTAACCAGTACACCACCGGGCTGGACATGACAATCTCCTTTTGACTGAAGGATACCAACATTCTCCTCTGGTATGCCCACAACAGTGAAGAGAACCCCAATTTCTACACCAGTGGTTATGACAGTTTGACTTTGCTTGGCAGCTTACTTTGTTCATGTGGATCTGCTGCTGGTATTGCTTCTGCTTCTCCAAGAACTGCTGGTGTTGCTGCTGAATGACCAGCTGAGCCAAAGTGCTCTGAGGCAAAGGTGCAGACTGGGTTCGATTCAGGGGTCTGTGACGGGGTAATTTGTGGGTACCTCTAATGCCAGGTGAAATTCTCTCTTTTGTTGCCAAGGGAGACTGAGGATGCAAAGGAACTCCACCTAAAAAAAAGAAAAAAAACCCATATATAATGTATACGCACACACAATTTCGCTTAAGAAAAGATAAGAAGCTACAGAAAATATGGGATAAATTTTATTAAAAGTAGTGATGCTACTGGGCAAAGATCAGGAGAAGGCTAGGTTGGGTGGGGTGAAGGCAGAAGTGCCAAAACATTGGACGGGTATGAGTCTGACCCATGACTCACCAGTAGTCCACTCTGGTAATGTATGAAGGCTAATGAGGTGAGGTTTTTTTCATGTATCTAGAGGAATAAATAAGGATAAGAGCCTTTCCCACAGTACCTGGTCTCAGGAAGGCCTTTATATTATCACTAAATCTTTACCAAGGTCTTGAGTTAAAGAGACATTACAATGGATCGCTGATAAAATAAAAGCCCTAAAATGACCTGCAAATGGCGCCATTATTAATTACCAGCCACAAGAAGCTTTTGCTGTCGCATTTGTTCTTTCAATAATAAATGCTGCAGGAGAGCTTGGTGGCTGCTGTTGGGCTTTCCCTCCAAAGTGACATGGGGATGGCTTGAAGATGCCTGGATGCTGCCCCCATACTGCCCAGGCAGAGGAACGCCTTGCCTGAGTGTCTGGGTCTCACACTTCTGTTTTTCTTTGAGTGAATTTGAAGCCTGTGTCAAGAAATAATAAAGATGTTAATCTTCTTTCATCCATGTGGGTCATTAGGTCTGTACATCATTAGATTAGATTTTTATTCCATAATCCCCCCCCCCCCCACACACATACACACAAAAACCATCTTACCCAATGGCTGAGTAGGGAAAATGGATAAAAGCCTGTCTTTTGAACTAAGTGAATTAACAAAGGAGAAATAAAAATAGAGTTGAAGCACTGGAGACAATTTAGTATTGGGTATCATTGCACTGAACTTCATGAGTTTTTTTAACATTAAAATGATGCTAATTTCAGGCTTAATAACTGGGAAGTTTATTTCTAAAATGCTTTAATACACTGCATAAGTAAAAGGTATATTGAAAAAGTAAAATTTATTCAAATTGCTAAACTAATGACTATATCATAGGGATTTAAGAAGCTGGAGATAAAATAGTCTGTAATTTTGGACTTTCAAGCAGAAGGAACAATTTACTCTTTCTCTACATGTCCACTAACCTGAGCTGTTCACAGGGCTGTAGGTTTCCAATATTTAATTTTTAAAATAAAATTCTGCAGATAACTCAGTGAAAGGTTGTATAAAATACGCAGGAATTTGATTTAAGAATGTATTTTATATTAATTCATAACAGATCCCCAAATCTCTAAATATTGAAAATGACACTCCAGATACTTTTGTTTAATAAAATAAACTACAAGTGAAATTAGATATCAAATAAAAATGCTATTAAGAGCTGAAATGTATGATAATATAGTAATGAGGCAATAATAATTATATCATCAATAGTAATAATGAATTATCCTATTCAAAGAGTTTAATGAATGGTGGTCATTTTGTATTACAAAAGCAGAAGTCTAATACCTCAAAATTATGTGGCATGTTTCTTTTCAAAACTCATGTTTCATCTTTCAAAATTGCTGTGCACCAGGGAAGCAAAGCAATTTTCAGTGATGGAGAAATGGAAGGACAAAGAGGCAAATGGTTTGTCTTAGTCACACAGCAAGTCAATGCAATGTTTAATCTAGAAGTGATTCCTTCTCTTGGCCTCTTTTCCTTAAAATTTCCCACTACTCAGTGGGGAAATAGAATATTAGAGATCCCTTTGCCAAAGCAATGCTAAGCTTGAAAGATTAATTGTGATGGCCTCATCCACACCAAAATGGAAGCAAAGAAAAATGAAACTTCAATCCAAACCACATTGGTTTATTCATCCACTGGTACCAAATTGTATTACCATTGAAACTTTAAATGGTCTGGCATTAGTACTTGGTCCTTTGGGAAAAAATTCTCCCCAACCACATTAAAAGTGGTGTATGTTTGTGCTAGCTGGTAGGAGTGACTTAAGAACATGCACAAAAGAGTGGAAATAAAATTCCTATTCGTGTGTCGTAAGAAGTTTTTGTGTTAGTATTGGCTTAATCATCAGAAGAGATAAGAAAAATAGGAATAGAAGAAAAATAATTTTTAATAAGTGAAGATCTGAAAATGCCATCCATGAATATTTGTTAGTTTCATTCCTAATTCCTTTTTTCTTTTCACTAGAACCAGTTGGTTACAAATGTTTCAGGTGAAATTTCAAGGGCATAGCTGAATTTGGTATTTTTAAGGTTTTCTTCAGTCCCCGGATATAAAACAACATCGCAATTTTGCTTTCTCTTCACTGGTACAAGATTACCGTATAACATACGATCAGATCCCACCCTAGGAAAAATACCAAATATAATAAGATACCTCTTAGGTTGATTTTATAATATGTATTAAACACAATCATAAAATTTATCATTTAAAAATTTCACTATAGGTGTACTTGTGCATAAATCAGCATACCATATACACGTCTAATATTCTGAAAATAAATTAGTCTCCAAATGATCAACTCTTTATAATTTTCTGATGTGGGCATAGTGTAAAAGATGTCAGTTTGACAAACTAGACTCAGTGGGAGACCTGCTGCTAAAGATGGGGAAAATTGGTGCCAAGGATTAGAACAAAGTTCTCTTTAAACCTAATGTATCACATGATCTGTGCACAAGTACTCAATCTACTAACCTTTCACAGATGAATTATTCTAGGCAAAGCTCACAAACCTTTCACAATGACTAAAAGGAACATGTATAAAATAATTATTGCTATCTTCTGCTAGTAGGACAGTTACTTCCAAAAGATCCTATTTCAGGTGTCAGGACTTTTAAAGTAATTGATTCACTTTGAATCTCCTAGGAAGAGTTTAATTTTGTTCTTAGAGATGTTTTCCAGATAGGTATTCTTCAGCACCACAAAGTCAGTAACTTCCCCATAAAGTCATTCACGAAGTCAATTCTGTAAACGTAGGCTGCTGTGTTTTATGAGCTACACCTCTCAGTACTGGCCTGAGTTGAGTTCCACGTCTGCCACCTACTGCCTCTGTGATCTTGGGCTTTTAAACATTCCAAGTCTCAGCTTCCTCTTCTGCAAAAACGTGGCCTCTAATCTCTGTTCTGTGGGATTGCTGTGTGGAGTGACTAAAATAATATATCTGGAGAGTGCTTTCTTTTTTAAAAGCTATGAAGTATTATACAAATGTTAGCTATTACTTTTATATATTATTATATGAACCTGTATAGTTCTTTAATTTGAAATTAAACTGAACATCTTTGAACAACTCAGCAAATGGTGAAGGAGAAGCAGAGTCTACCAAGTTTCCCTGAAGTCTAAATATACAAGAAATGACAGAGAGATGCCCTGTGAAAATGTCACTCTGGCTGGTTTATGCTGTTGCTGTGTAATGACTCACATTGAGCTGGGTTGGCACTGCTGGAAGTCCCAAGGTAATGTTGGGCAAAGAGGGAGAGGTATAAAGACTTAGCAGGTTCATGGAATCTTCGTGAATTAGAATGCGTTGCTGTGAAACCATTTTCTGAAAAAAAAAAAAAAGTGGAGTTTCAAAATATTACAACATCACAAATTTTACTGTAAATGTTCACATTTCAGAATAGGTTTTATATTATCATAATTAGTCAAAATACTTAAGTATTTATTTTATGATTTCTGTATCCAAAGGTTATATGTAAAAATTAAATTAAAACTTTCTTCATCAGACATAATTATAAAATCTGAAGAAAAGGCTTCTATGTTCATTTTGCAAAACTGATTTTTAAAATTCTATCCTTATGGAATATAATCAATGTGTTTGTCATCAACTGGTAAAGTACAACGATTAAATTGAATAATTCTTATAAGAGTATATGTGCTTTTTTGTATTACTGAGTGATGACTATCTATATAATGCTACTCTAATGACTATCTTCATATGGGTTAAACATCATTCTACTGATGGGAAAACTCACACAAGAAAATCTTAGATTAAATATCTCCATATAGGACTTCTATAATAATTAATCGTATCTTTTTTTAATATAAAATTTATGAATAGATAACTCTGTGTGGTGTTTTATAGATTGTTCATATTCAGAAACTAAAGTAAATGTTAAAATATTATGAGTTCCCTGTACCACAATAGCCTTCATTTACATTGAAATACCTTGAACGTGTTGGCATCATAGTCCTTTTTACAACAAATACCTTTTTTTAATCCAATACTAAGAGTCATGTTTTCTCACATGTGGCCTAATATGGTTGCTTGAATTACATTTTCTGTTTAACTCTTGCTTCCCTCCCAGAACTCTTATACAATAAGAGTTACAAAGGTCTTATTAGACTAAGGAACTCTGGCCTGATATGGTCCCCAAGGGAACAACATCCCTGAAAAAGAATACTCCATGTAACAGTATGACACAGTGACTGCTTTCTTCCCAAACAAAAAGCATATGGGACTCCAATAATAGACCACCTCCAAGAGGGATATTGCACACACGGGCTTTGACTAAAGTAAATATAATAACTTGTCAAGCATGTTTGGGGGAGCCGTAGATTTTCCCCTGGACAAACCTGGGATATCAATTAACTGGGGAAAATATCATGTGCTAATACAATGCAACCTCAGAATGTCACTGAAGAGTGATGCGCCACCAAAACACAGGATGTTATTCCAAAACATCACCTCAATCATACGTTTGTTTGGAGATGAGTCATAGCCTTAACATAGTAAGAGCAGAAGGTTAAATGTGCATTTTTCTCATTGCAACTTGGAATTCCAAACTAACTCAGATTTTGTTTTTTCTCAAAAGAACAAAAATATTTGTGCATGAAAATCAAGTGGTATACTGAAACTTTTAACCTTAAATGGACTTTTACAAAATTAAAATTTAGGTTGAAAGTATATTCGTGTAAGCAAAATACTAGCTTGTCTTTTTAGTTTGACCAAATATGCAGCTGTCGCTGATCGCTCCTAAAATAAAACTGCAATCTCACACATTGTAATGATAAACTCTTTTCCAACAATCTTCAGGCTAGAGTGTTTTAGACAACTTTAAGTATACATATATACCTGAACAAGAGCAAAAAGAATGTATGAGGAAGTAAAAATATTTTAACTAGCTTATTGGCAGCAAGTAGTAATTAATAAAAGGATATTTCATTCACTCATTCATAGATGAGAAATAAACGTGGAAAAATATGTGCTTTAAATCATGTATAATGTTCATTCAAGGTTGTATCTGCTTCTCACAGCACTGAGACTTGGCATGCACTGTGGGAATGACACCAACAGATACCACAGACCTCACCAAGGAGGTTACCTTTGTTTCCCAGACAGAACTTCTACAATATCCTCCTATCTCATCACAGGAAGCAAATCTACACTACCAAGAGAAAAAGGTTTCTTCTCAGATATAATCACAACAGCAGCACACTGGCTGCTCACATGGGCTTTGACTAAAGTGAAGAACTTGGGGAATATTCTTGCTATGGGATTTCAGATCCCTGTAGTTTCATATCAAAATTGACTGGCTCCATTTCCTACGACAGTGTGTTGATTTTCAGCACCTACCAGATGCCAAGCCCAGTCCCAGGGATGTTTTGGACATTAACCTGTTCTTCCTATGCACTCTCCAGCTAAGATTATGCTTGTTATGGATGAAGAAGCTGAGTGATTTCTCCAAGTCTGGTTCCCAGTGGGATCAGCAATAAAACTTTTAAACTGATCAATGCTATATGATTTGTTATCAGGTACTGTTGCAGAAGCTACACACCACTCTGCAGCCATGACTGAAGGATAAGGAAACCATGAAAAAGTATGAAGAAGGGGGAAGCTTTAGAGATGAAGAGCAAGCAAAATCAGGCCCTGAGGCTTACAGAAAGAATAAAAGTGTGCAGCTGGGAGACAGCTGACCTGGGCATGAGAAGAAAGTGAAAGCCCTGGTGATTTTATAGATGTGAGGATCTTCTCATCATGCAGACGATTCCTGAAGAAGCAAGGAAAGTGTGAAGTGCCCTAAGCCCACTAAATACAGTTGGTTCTTCCCACAGAGACTAACTGGTATAGTATCATATCGTATCGTAGAACTTCAGGGATTGGGACGTTACTTAGTTTATTTCCTTCAATTACTGATAGGGAAACAGGCACAGCATTTATGCATACTTCTAATGGCTAGAATTGCAAATGATTTAACAGACCTGAAAAAATCTTTTCCTCAAATTATCATCCTTAAACATAACTTTTTTCACTTTGGCTTTTTGATAGAAGCACTCTATCTGTTCCAAGTTAATGTTTCTTAAGAAGAACCTGGAGCTGTAGTCTACAGGGCTAACAGAGTACAGATACACTTGAAAGCCAGGCGAACAGGTGGTATGAGGTACCATTTCACAGAGACAATGAAGGATCCTGACCAGCATTGTTGCAAGGCTAGAAGGTTACCCCACCTTAACATTGTGGTGAGCTCACAAGTATTTTCAGCCAAAGCCAGGATTTTTCCAGGAAGCAGTTTTGAAACTGATCCAGCACTGAAATCAGTGCTGTGCTAAGATGCCAACATTTCACATCTTAGAACATAGGGAAGATGGTTTTAATCTAAAAGATTTTCAGAAGCAGAAACTATTGCTATAGTTAGAGAAAATGGAAATATTAAATGTATAAATGGGCATCACTTAACATTCACAGGATAATTAATGAATAACAATTAAGTTAGATTAGCAGTGTGATACTGGGTGGTAGGCGTATAGAGATGTCCTATACCACACAAGTTCACATGCTAATCAGGTACACAGAAAAGTAGAGAACTAACCCTAACGACCTGTAATAATTACTAAAATTAGAGCAGGGGTGAAACAATGGCACAGAGCAAAGTGTCAATTTTAAACCAGGCTTGAATGGGTCACTAGCATTTTACCAGAAAGAGTATAATATTGGGAAGAGGGATATGATTAAGCTAGGTGTTGGGGCAGGAGAGGCCTACTCACATTTTAATAATGACCTTCAAAATTTAATTACTTTTCTTACCATGAGGCCAGTTGGAAGCCTATCTTACAGATAATATTTGCAATTCAGATGAATAAAATACACATAAACTGAAAATTATGTGTCTCAAAAGAGCTATTTAGCCATTGGAATCAAGAAGCTCCAAGTTCCAAACAGAAGATTCAAAATCTCTTACAAAATGGACAGTGGCAAAAATTAGAAAAATGGACAATGTCAAATGTTACAGGGATTTAGAAAGGTAAAAACCATCACACATTCTGGTGGGACTGTAGACTGGTACAGCGATTCTGCCGAACAATTCAACACTATAAACCAGATAATTACATTACACATTACGACTCAGCAATTCTTCTGCTAGGAATTATATCTTCAAGAAATTCTCTCATTAAGCTGTAGGGTGACGTCATGGGTATATACTGAAGCATTTTTTGCTGGTGGGAGACAACTGGAGGCCACTCGGGTATCCAACTGAAGAACCCATGCAAACAAAAATACAGGAGAGAAAGAGTGCCTATGGGGGGCAAGGAAAACGGAAGCAGGGGTAGGAGATACAGAGGCAGGAAGGAAGAAAGAAAGGAAACCTTTCTCACTCTTAAGAAGACAAAGAAGTCAACAGATGACCATTGACAGAATACTAGTTGTATAAATAATCACCTACTTCTTAAGAAGCTCATAAAGTGGATGTAGAATTTTCAATTTACTAAATGTTCAAAATTACCTACAATATGCATGAGCAAAAGAAAAAGAATATAAGTATCTACAGAGTTTTGGTGAGAAGCAGTCTGGACTGGTGAAAAGAAGTATGGCGTAGCTCCTTACACGTGAGGACTGCCTCTCACTGGCTTAAGAGTCTGGGCAGCTGCTTACCTTCTCTGGACTCCAGGCCCCTCAGCCTAAGACTGAAGCACCTCTGACTAGGTCTATCAGGTAACATCTGTGTCTACTAAAATGTCCTCCAGGAAGATATGCATGTAAACCTCAATCTGCTTTGGCTTTAAAAGGTCCCACATCCCCAAATCTAGACTATCTAAAAAAAAGAGAGCCATATAAAAAACAAAACAAACAAAAAACTCTTAATCATTTAATGTTTGCCTGTGGCGTTCATAGTATTTTTCAAGATAGTACTTCTACTCTTTTTTCAGACAGTTAATAGAAAATTAAAGTCTCCACATAATGAAGAAAATTTTTTAGATAGTAAAAATCTCTAAGTTTTCATTTTTACTAGACATCAAAGAATGTATTACTATAAAATGGTTGGGAGACAGAAAAAAAATCATTTGACAGGGCTTCCTTTGCATTTAAAAGGCACTGATGTTTTGTTAAAGGTCTTGCTTTACAATATTGACTAATGCTATTCCTAGTAAAAGATCCTTTTGTCATAGCAACCTCCTTTCCCTGAGGGAGGGAAAGCGTTTCATTTGCTGCCATCTAAAACCATAGCTCTACGCCCACTTGGATGGGAGCATAACATTTACAGCAAATGTCACAACAACTATTATGAAACAATAGGCAGATGAGTCATGTGAGATTGGGGCAAAACAAGCGACATTTGGAGTACTTAACCTTATTATTAGAATCCTTTTTTAAAATCATTTGTATCTGCTGGAAAAAATTATTTAAAAAGTAGCGCTGCAGAGCCAGCCACTAATGTTCAACTAGAAATAAACCAGCTGCTTGGCTACTGCTAAAACAGCTATCAAATAAATCTACCAAATCTAAAATAATGGGGTTGATATCCATGGAAACATATTTGAACCCACAGGCCCACAGTATTAACAACAAAGTAACTAGATAGGTAGAGACATCTCCGACTGGAGTTGGAAATAGAAACTCCTGAGGTTTCAGCTCCCCAACCAAGTTTACAAATGAGTAAAGCAAGTAGCTCCAAGAATCCGAGTTCGGTACTGAGCATATGTAAGAAATGGAAGAAATGGAACAGAAGTGGTCAGAGCAGATGGCGACTCACTCTCATGAGAGCTGCTGGCATGAAGACAAACATGCTAATGAGTTTTCCCTACTAGGAGTCAGTATAGATAACAACAACAAATGAACTTGTTTCACACTTCACAATTTACTACCCACCTTCCAAACACTGATTCCTCACAACACAGCTGCTGGGGTAGGTATTACTACCCTTCACTAGATGAGGAATATGAAGTTCAGGGCAAGTTTAGCAACTTAACCAATGAGGAGGAAGCAGCTGGTTTTGGAGCTGGGTTCCTGCAGAGCCTTTCTGATTGAAGACCTGCCTGAACATGCTGTGCTGTTTCTTGAGACTGGACTTATGAGTAAATTCTCCTCCTACTTCTGACTTAACCTTTATCTAAATTATGCAGACATGAGAATTACAAGATAGAAAATTTTCTTTTCCTCTAAGCCTCAGGATCTTTAGATACAGCCTTACTTTCCTATTTCCTAAGCAGCAAAAGGGAGTAGAATGCCATTTATTTCCATGGGCTCTAAACTAGGTGACATGTTTTTCCACTTGCAGGTCATAGAATAAAGAGTTCATTCAAAGGGACACTGTTATACTATTTTTAAATGAAAACTCACCTGTCCTGCTTAAGCAAAGATGGTAGAATAAGCTGTTTTGTAAATGGTGAAGTATGAAACTAACTTTGTTTTTTAAAGTGTAGTTAATGATGTAAATTTTTTATACCCCAAAAATACTTCTGTTGACACAAAATTAAATGATATTATTAACCTTAGAAGACATCTGTAAAAATCATACCATATTCTAAATAATTGTTAATCAAGAATTGCCTGAAAACATTTTCTCTTTTCTCTAGTTTAGGTGGAGGCATTTAGTGTCACAAAGCTAGGATATTAATTTGCTGACAGTTCCAGTCTGGATTCTGCCGTCTCCTCTCTTCTCCAGTATGAATTATGCTACAGACCTCTGTGAACGCAATGCAGCAGAAAACCACATGTTAGCCATCAGGGTTGCATTTTTTGTTCTGGGCCACAGAGAGGCTACCCATCAGTGCATAAAGGTCTGCCCACCTGGCCTTTTGGATCATAGTTCACGCACACAATTAATTCATTATGAGGTAAGTCACTGCTTGCTTTTGAACTAGTCTTTCCAGCTTTGGAGGTGAATGTCCTGTCACTGACCTGGAGAAATACTTCTACTCTTTCAAACTCCATTAAATCACATTTCCTTCTGTTTTCTTTTTCTTTTTTTTTCTTCTTTAAATCGTGAGGGTGGAAGGAAAGTTTTGTCATGACAGAATATGTTCAACAATTAACTGAAAAGCCAGGGCATCTAAACAGATACTTATGACAATAAAGGTTCCAGAGATATAAAACAGATTCAAACAATATAAGCAAATTCCTTTCATTTACATTCACCACTGTATATATTTTGAAATCTAAAGTTAGGGTCACACAATCTGCGATATTCATTTTAAATTAACAGGTCATAAAAGGCTTGAAATAAAGAGAAAAATCTCACCTTTTCCATTCATTTCCAATCTCATGAATATATATTTCTTGATTGTTCCTTTACATTGTACTAAGTATTGTATGCATATATACGTATTTATAATGAAGGAGTATATGTATCTTCCTCGTTAGTAACAAACCATGTCCTCCTCCATTCCTGAGAGGTAACCATCATGGTAAATTTTGTGTTCATCACTCCTTTGCCTTTTAAAAATATACTTTTACTACATATGTTTTCCCAATCAAAATATTATACTGCTGTTTCTGAACCTAATAAAATACCATCATGTTGTAAGTGGTCTTTTGCACCATTTTGCACTAACAATGCATTCCTAAGAAGCATATCTGCTGTTAAGCGTAGTTCAGAGTGTCATTTTCATTTTCCAAGGGTAGCAAATTCATCCAGAGCCTATTTAGAAACCAGATCCTTTAGTGTTTCTGCTATTAGTGTAATGTGATTACTGAGAATCACATTCTTCAAACTGAGAGGAAATGGAAATCTAAAGTCTTTTAGAAATATTTGTGACCAAGTTGTTCTTTTCCTGGAAATTGATTAAAAGGTTGCAGAAAATTGACCACTACTGAGATATAACTGCACTAACAGAAATACAATACCTATAACCAATGGTCCAAGAATCCCACTTACATCCATGGCCACAAATATATGTGAAGTATTTATTCCATCTCATATCATGTTTTTGAAAGGATAATGAAAAAGAGAAAGAGGGGCAATAGGATGGTAAGAAACTAGAAATAGATGAAGGACCTGGAGATAATGTAGAGTCCTGAACTGTTATTCTTCAAATAGCTGAAAGACAATCATAAGCAAGAGGGCATCCATCTATTCTGCTCATTTTCGTTTGAAAAATTGGGGGAAATTTTTGAAATCTAGAATGAAGGTGTATTCCTCTAGAGAGGATTTATATTTGCTTTTTCCAACACCTAGGAGCACTACAAATCTAGGGCACTTTAAACCAAAGGTTTATGAGGTTGTGTAAATTTGGGCTGCAACTCCATGTAAGGACAACTTCTCAGGGAGAGATCTGCCCCTGCTCTGGTCTGCGTGCAGACACCTCTGGAGGTGGGCGTGAGGGGCTCACCAATGTAGCGTAGATCCCATAGGCCAATGTAGATCTTTGGGATCACAGCTTAGCTTTTGGAGGGTCTCCTATTAGATTCTCAGGTCATTGGATAAAATCTGCCTTGCTAGGCTGTTCTTCTGAGAGGTTTGTATGAAGTTGTTTTTATGTACTGATGGGTCTACTCCCATCAGAATAACCAAGAACCAAGCAGAAGGACTACTGACTTGCATGACTGCTGGGCAATGCATACTCAGCATCACTAAGAGTGACTTTTTTTTTGAGGATTACATTTCAATATTTTCAACTGTGATTGTCATACAGACTTTGTAAATAAGATCAAGTTTACTCAATCCCACACATTATACCTCTAAGAAAACTAACTGAGAACTGGTGGCTTTAAAATTCAATTCAGAAATATCACTTTGTTTTAGGGGGCCAATCAGGAATCTACTTTTTAAAAGAACCAAAATAATAGAGTCTTACCTCAGCATGAGGAGTAGGCGGCAAAACCGAAGTCTCATTTTCAGTAACATTTCCAGTTGGCCCATTATTTGGTGAACTAGGACCAGAACCTGGAGAACTGCTACTAACTGAGGATTCTGAAAAACATTGTGAAGTACAAATATATTCGTGGGAAACGTACAAAGATGAACTTCAGTTATACTCTAAGTAATACATAGCAATGAACATTGTTTTTTTCCCCTACGTGAATAACAAGCACCATTTCACTAAACAAAAAGAACTGTGAAAACTTCTGGAACATTCCTGAATTTTCATACCACTTTTCTCCCTTTGTTTTCACTGTGAAATATATAACACAGTAGTCAATAGCTTCTAGAGAAGTAAAGACATCCAGTTAGAATTATAGACACTTATGATGAGGAAAAAAATAAAGAAGGTAATCTTCTCTTACTTGCTTTTGTGCTACCTTAAAAATAACAGTAACAGAGGGCTTGGCCCTGTGGCCGAGTGGTTAAAGTTCCATGAGCTTCAATTTGGCAGCCTGGGTTTGCGGGTTCGGATCCTGGGCACAGACCTACTCCACTTATCAGGCCGTGCTGGGGAGCATCCCACATATAAAACGGAGGAAGACTGGCACAGACATTAGCTCAGGGCTAATCTTCCTCAAGCAAAATAAGAGGAAGATTGGCAATGGATGCTAGCTCAGGGCAAATCTTCCTCATCAAAACAAAACAGCAATAGAGATGATGGACTTGCACAGTTCAGAAAAACATGCCATCAGTATGTGAGGCCTGGGGCCATTCCTGTTTATGTGGAAAAATTGCTAATATGCTGTGTTATAAACAGCTCTTAATTTACAAAGGCTATATGCCCTTTTATAGCACAATTAGTCAAAGTTGTATGAAGAAAATACAAGAGAATGTAAAATCTCAACATTACATTGATGGCCTTGTACAACATCATCTAACCTTAACTCTACTCAATTTATTCTCCAGAAGATGAGAAATTGCCTAAATTTAATATGTTAAATTTCAAACACCAATATAACAAGAAGCTCATTTTAGCAAAAGTTAGATAACAACAATATAGATTATTTATTTAACCCATCTCTTTCATCTTCAGATATTAAATCACACACATTTCAACTTGTGAAGGAATTATTGCACTTATTAAAATATCTAATTGACAGAAATATAAACTTCCAATTCCTAGAAAAATAACTAAGAGAGGTCACCTTCTCAAGCCTTGGCAAATGATTTATTGAGCTCTAAACAATTTTATATCACCTTCTACAGTCCATTCATTTCAAGATTTCACTAGATGGCTCATCCCTATATCTTTCCTCATACTTCTCAGAGACTGACGACTTTCAATATGATTTCCACCAGTGATTTTTCTTTCTGCCTCATGGTTTTCTTATCCATACTCTCCTTTCCCATTTCAAAGGTAAAGCATTTCTCTTCCGCGCCCCTCTCCAATGTTAGCACATTCACTCTTATTCATGATCCCATCCCCCTTTTAGGATTTTACTCCATCAATTAATTTGAATCTTCAGGGCTTCTGTTTCCACTGGAATTGTCCCTCTAGTCTGAAAGCATGTTAATAATTTGTGAGAAGTACTCATTCCTCCAAGACCTGACAATCTGGCTAACTCACTATCAACTGCAAATGTTCTCTGCAACACCCCCAAATTTGAAGGCTTTTCACAAAACAATCCTCCTCCTCCCTTTTACAGTAACATTCTCCACCTCCATGTTTGTCTTTCTCTCTCTCTGATGTTTTCCCTTTTGACCAATTCCTGAATGTAGACATTCACCTAAGTTTGTGGCCTTATCTCTTTTCTCTTTCCCTTGTCAAAATCTGTCTATATTGTGGTATCAACTATCATTTTTAGGCAGAATAATCCCATGAAAGTTATATTTCTTGCTTTTACCTCTCATAGATTCCAGCTTGAGTCCAGTGGAATGCTGGACATTTTTAATCTCCCTTTCCATGTGTATCAAATTCACTGTATTTCAAGATTCAGTGTGCACTCCTTATCTGTTTATCACCGCCCTTGGTGTCATTCTCATTCCCTTCCTTACCCCAAATCTAATCAATTACTGGGTCATTTCATTTTGTTCTTTACATCATCTCTCATCTACTTCTGACTAACATCATTTCAGTTTTGGCCCTCAGACCTCATTATTCTCTCATGGAGTATAGCAAAATTCTCCTAATATTTCTGAACTGCTACAGTAGTCTCTTAGAACTTCCCTCTCAATAGTTGCCAGGTGGATCACAGAGAGCCAACTGTCACCATGCTCCTCTGCTCCAAAATGGAGCCTAACATTATTTCCGACTGTTGCCCTTTCTGTATTCTGCACTCAGCTAAATTTAAGTCACCTACTCTCCGTAAGCGCTACTTTCCCATTTGATACTTTCTATCTTCCTTTTCCTCCACCTACCTCACTGCAGGTCCAATCTCACCTCTAAGCTCAAAGCCTGGCTCAGGTACCATCTGTCCCCTAGTGAACGGGAACTCCCAATTTGCAGGCAATATCTGCTTGCACTCCCTTGCAACACCTACAACTTTCAACCTTCTGTTATAAATATTTCTCTACTCAGAACTGCAGGGCCAACAGAAAGAAAGTGAGGTTGGTGACAGAATTTTGATCCCGACACCTACTTAATGTGATCAAGTCAGTGATATCATAAAATTCTTAAACACATCTTGCTCACTGCCTTTCTGTCTATATATCTTGCTTATATTTTGATTAATCAGCTGTATATCTTTGCCTCTTTCTTGTGTACTTTCCTTTTAATGAAGAGAATAACATGGCTTTGGTGGGGAGAGATGCAGAAAACTCTTGAATTTGAAAAAGAGGAAGATGGCAAGTGGTTCCGTATCAACTACTGGGAGGAGAGAGGTGGCATGGGTTTGAGAAAAGCATATACTTGACCTATGAATTGGGGATGAGAGATATAGAGGTGCGAGAAGAACAGTAATAGTAATTTAACTGCTACTGATGCTATGATGGTCTCTGACTAGATAGCAAAAATAATTAGTATTAAGATCCAAACAGAGCTCATCCAAATTACATGAAAGCTGGCAGAGAAAGAGCAAGGAGTACAGGTGAAGAAGCTGTGTGTCGGGTAGTTTAGATCCTCCAAAGACATTTATAATAAGTGCAACATACCAGTTAAAAATATCTACCAAAACATCCACAAGTCCCAGCTCACTGACTAGAAATGTGTCTCTAATTAATGCACAAGTCTCTCTTTGAATATATTTCCTCAGATGAAAAGGGGAGTCATTATCTCACAAAATTAGGAAGAGAAAAATATAGTTCAAAAGTAAAGAAATGAGTAAAACTCTAGCAAATCATAACCCTTATAAATGAGAATTAATCGTTACTTAGATAGGTATTGAGATAAATTCCACTGTAATTTGGTAAGAAAAAATTCCTATTAATAGGAAAATAGAAAAGAACATTGGGATAAATATGACCTTAGATTATAAGATTCTAAAGTAAAACAAACAAACAAAAGCAATGTATTGGTTTTCTATTTTCTTCAAATTTTTCTGTTATGAGGGAGCCTACTCTCTCCAATTAGAAAAATCACCTATATCTATTTGCATTACACAATTGATATGTTCATTATTCTCTACATTCATTAGAACAGATCCACTTCCCAAATCCCCATCTCTACCAAGAACCACTATTATGAAAACTTAATTAAAATTTTTACTTACTTAAATACAAATATGTTTTTTGAAAAAAAGTCTGTACTCTGAATTTAGAACTCAATTGGTGTACGTATTTGATATTGGAAAATAAATATAAACTCTAATGAAATAATTTTAATTAATTTAATATTTCTTATTCCGCAAGGCAAAATGGTTGCAGATTACCACTTCTTTATTGATGCAACCAAAGGAAATGACCAGATACAATGCACAGCTCTAAGTAGGTACTCAATAAACAGTAGTCAGTATTATTATTTTTTGCTAGCCTTTTTGCTTCTTGTATCCCTAGGTCTTCTCTAATTTCAGACCAGGTACAACTGGGACTAAGGAGCTTTGTAAGACATCAGGTTGAATTTCCTAACCTGTTCACCCCACCACTAACCACGCAGCTAAAAAAATAAGAAGTCTTCCATTTGAGACTAGTGAAAATGACAGTCTCTTTCCCTTCATAAAAGGCAATATATCCCCCTCCTGCCATAAGTCCCAGTTCACTAGTAAACACATAAAGTCATTTATGAGTTCTGTAAATTTGTTGAAAAGTCAAGATTTTGCTGTTCCACATAGTTTAATTTTCCCAGATGAATTTTCTACATTCATGTCTGAGTATGGGGGAAGTGTTCTTCTTGGACCTCCCTCTGCTCATTTCTGATCAAATTTCATTAAAAGTTATAGTCTCCTGGTTGGCATTCCCAAAATGGACTGCCTGTTTCTGAAAAAATGAAGGTGAGCTTTGGCGCTCCCTAGTTATGCCTAGATTGACACATAGTTCTGTTTTTCATTCATTTCCTGTTTAGCACAGTTGGTGAATGCATGGCAAGGTTTGCTGAACTACTTGTGAGTTTTCAATATCATTTCCTTTCAAGAAATGTTTCTCCTTAAAATACTTTCAATATGCAACAGGCATATTTATTCTAAACTATTTTGTTTCCATTCCTACTACCAGCATTTTTAGTGTATGTCTGCCCAGTCCTCAATTACCTGTCACCTCAAACATTCGCTTCTTGAATGAAGTGACAACATTTCCATCCTTCCGCCTGAGTAAGGGGCTGCTTCTCCTCTCTGCCACTTTCTGTTTTAACCTGGACCGCACCTTCAAGTTGGGCTCAGAGGCTGGGGATTGAGACAAAGAAAATAGATAAAAATTAAAAAATAGAGAGCCAATTGCTCATGTGTATAAAAACCGGCTCACCCTTTTCTTGGTCCCTTCTCATCTCAAATTAAAACCCCAAGCATGTAAATAAGACATTGACTCTAAATTAATTAAGCAGACAAACAGAGTAATTATTTTGATGAAATGTGTGAAATGCTTTTCTCCTTCTCTAAATGCAAAGCGAAAAAGAAGTGAAAATATAAGTTTTCTACTTATTTTTTCCAGCAGAATTGGGATTGTTAATGGGAAGTTTAGTCACTAAGTATGTTTGGGCCTGAGTAAGATTTATTACACTTCATCGTCAGCCCTTTTAATTCTCTCAAGGGTGAAACTCAATAACCACAAAAACAGTACCCTAATGTGATTTTAGAGACTCCAGCCTGACTTCTGATCATAAGAAGACACCTCTGTAGCATAGAATTTATGTCTAATTCTGACTCCTGGAATATTTCTTTGTCAGTAGTTTTTAACCCGAAATCGTGGGAAAATATATTCAGTATAATAACACCAAACCAAGTCAAATCACTACATATAAATTGTTGTATACATTTAGCATACAAGCAAGTGGAGAGGATGGTGGCCAAGTCTTAGAATTGAAATTTCTGAGTTAGGTTGTATGTTCCAAAATATGAATGCACATTATTCATACATATGTTACTATTTCTTTGGTTAAAGTACTCTAAATAGTGATGCCCTATTAGTCATTATTTATTAGGTTTTAAAATAATTATACTTTAAAAGAATGGAAACATTGGATTAGATCTCTGTAGAGTAGAAATCGATGATGATGATGATGGTGGTGATGATGATGATGATATTGATGATGATGCTTATGGAACATATGTTTCTGATGACAATTAACATTCATATAATGATGTCTATGTTCCACTACTGTTCTAAAAGCTTTGTCAATATGAACTTGTTTAACCATAAAAAATCTGTATGGGATAGATTCTACTTATACCTTGATTATATCAATGAGGAAACCAAAACACAGAGAGAGGGTAAGTAACTTGCCCAAGGTCACCTAGGTAAAAAGGGATGAAGCCAAGATCTGTACCAGGTAGTCTAGCTCAAGGCTATTCTTCGAAATACTGAAAATACTGCTCTTCTGCCATTCCTCATGTACAAATACTATAACAATTATAAAACTGTTTCTTCCAAAGCATTACTAATCATCTATATCTAGATACAACATTAGAATGTAGCTAGAATTTTTGATCAGTGAAAACGTTTTCTGTGAAGGAATTTTATATTTTTGCCAGACCTATCAAAAGTAGAAATTACAATCTTTTCTTTTTTTAAATTTTTTTTTTGGTTTTAGACTTCAAATATCTGTACTTTAGTTTTCTCTTTGTTCTTTGTTTCCCCCTTCTCTGTAGCTTTAACCTGGCCTGAGAACCCTCACATTCTAAGTTTTCTTGGAACTGGCTAGGTGAAATAGAAATGTGAAAGAAATATTCAGTTAAAAAAATAAAACATTAATTTTTTGTGCGTTGTACACCTGATTTTGTGCCTGAAAATACTGAAAAAGTAGAAAATGGGCTTAGAGGGCAGAGATCAGGACTTAGAACAAGAAGCTCATTGACTTTGTTGTTAGTGCCCTTGAGTCATTTCTGACTCCTGGTGACCCTGTGTACAGCAGAGCAGAACCCTGCCCGGTCTTTTTGTGCCATCCTCTCACCTTCTGGTGCTATATTAGACAATGCTCTGCTTCATTGGGTTTTCATGGCCAGTTTTCTCCGAAGGGGGTGGCCAGGTCCTTTTTATTAGTCTTTCTTAGTCTGGAAGCTCCACTGAAACCTGTGCACCACAGATGATGAGGCTGCTGGTATTTGAAATATCGGTGGCAGTTTTCAGCATCACAGCAACCCCCAGCCACCATAGTATGTCAACCAACAGATGCATGGTGTGGTTCCTTGTTCGGGAAAGGAACCCGGGCCACAGCGGTGCCGAATCTTAACCACTAAACTACCAAGACTGACTAGAGACTCAAAATGTATCACTTCCCTGGACCTCCTGCCTTGAGGCAAAGAAGGTAAGGAGTTTGGGGGAAGGATTAAGGTTCTTGCCAGACCTTCCAGGAGTGTCAACCCACTTTATCTTAGTGGAGAAGTCTGAATCTGAATTACTAGCATCCAACTTACCTAGGATTAAAGGAAGAAAACGTGACTCTATTAATTTACTTAGACTTTCCCCCATATATATTTATTTTGAAATTCTTTAAAAACACCAGTTTTGTCACTGAAAGGCTATAGGTTTATAAATATATTCATCTAAAACCTAGAAAGGAAAGAATGGGGAACCCCTATGTGCTAACTATATTGGAATCCACTGTCACCTTGCTTATAATCCTAGGACAAAAATCAGATTCTGACTTTGGTCTAGACATGACTTTATGATGAAATCTAATGGCTTAAATACTACAGATTGGCTGTCCAGAGGGAGTAAATCAGTTGATTAATTACTTGAAAAGGCACTTGTTTCAAGTGGGAAGATGTGGAGTTAAGTCCACATGGCACCACTTTCCAGCTCTGGGATTTTCAGTGAGATTCTAGTACTTTCTGAACCTGACTCTTCATTTGTGAAACATGAAGATCTAACACATTCCTTATTTCACAAAGTTGTGGCCACCTGATTAGACACTTGAGAACAACTGTGAAGATCTAGATGAATGCAAAAGAAAAAAAGGTTTATGGAATTTTTATTATTGCTACTACTGCTGAGGGATACACAGCTAGGAATGACAGCCAGGACTAGACCCCAAATCTGATTCTCGGTCCAGTTCTCCTCCTTCTTGTAACACGTTGCACCAGCTAGAGCCAAGTTTCTGCAATCAAGACAAAAATATGCCAACAGCTTGGGAAAACAGTATATGCCATTTAAATATTCTACATAAAACCTAGAAATCCACAAGCTTTTCAGAAATAAATGATTTCTCAGGTGGGCACATAGCTTTCATTCCTGTGTTTGTCTATTTGTGAATGGGCTGGATATACAGCTCTTAAATTTCTTTAAATGGTCAGCATTACAAAAGTGAACACCAAAATAGAAATGAGAGCTGGGTTCTGATCATGCATCTCTCAGCTACTAAAATCAATAACTGAATAATTCATAGTCTCACTGAATACCAGTTCATTTACGCAAATCAGCTATGATGATACCTTTGTAGTGCACAGAGTAAAAGAGATGTGCATTTAAATGCCTGCTCTGTCCATTAGCTATTTGGCTTTGGATGACTTACTTTATATCTTTAAACTTTAGTTTCTCATGTTAAAATGGGGATAATTTTTTCTGGGTTTTCTTCTCCATTTGCCCCAACAGATTCCACTTTCTGTCTTTTTCTGAGCCCATGGGGCTGAATCCTGGGGTTGTGTCACTCCAGTTCTTTGCTAGTTGGACTCCATTTGGGCTTAACCCACTGGTAGGACTTGCTAGTGATCAAAGGATGAAGGAGGAGTGAGGGGCCAGGGTATCCTGTGCTCTCTGCTACAGTGCTACATTACTGACTACAGTTTTGCCTCTTCCTGACTTCATCTCCATCCTCCGCTCCATGACTTGGGCTTTCCCAGCACTCCAGGAACATTATTTCCTCTCCTTGCTTCTTCAGCCCTAGGGGTAGGAATGGCTTCCCATTATTGCTAGTTTCTGGGTGCCTGAACATCCCTAAGCAATTGTAAGTAGTCCCTTCATAAAAGTCTATGACCCATATTGTGTAGGTTTAGTTCCCTGCCAAGACTCTGGTTAACACAGTCCTACATATTTTGGAAAATTATTGTAGAATCAAATGAAATAATGTCTGGTAGAGGATAAATCAGCGGTTCTCAACCAGGGAAGATTCTGACACCAAAGGACATTTGGCAATTTCTGAAGATAGTTTTGATTGTCAGTATGGGGAGTTGCTACTGGAAACTAGGGGGTAGAGGCAGCGATGCTGCTAAACATCCTACCATGCATAGGACAGCTTCCACAACAAAGAAATATCGGGACCCAATCGTCAATATTGCCAAGTGTGAGAAACGCTGGGGTAAGCAATGAGTAAACGGCAGTCGTTAATAACAGTACTACACTGGAATCATTAAAGGAGATGATAATAATTGTTAGAGATTCTCCACGAGGATGTAGAAGAATAAAGGAAAAGGAAAGATTATCAGAAATAAGGGAGTGCTCTACGTAGCTCGAAAATATTAAATATTTCAATACATTTTATACTTAGAAAATTATTTTTAAAAAATTTTCATACCACTGATATTTCTAAAGAAAGCAAAGTTAGTCAACTTCTATTGCTTATAGATATATGCAGAAAGAAATAATTCTCAATTTGGGGAAGGATAATATTTGAGGCATTGTGATATTTTTACTTTTATCAATTGAGGACATAGCTTTTTAAAAACTAGGAGTCACTAATATTCTTTAAAGTGTAACATAAATTTATTTTCTCAAAATGTACAATATGCAACTTTCATAAGTAAAGGTCCACATCCACTGGTTCTAGCAAAAACTTCTTTCTGTACTTCAATACTGGTTTTGAGTCACCAGAGACATTACTATCTCAGTGGTTAGGATGAAGGTTGGAATGATAGATAACCATCATTTAGTCCTTGTAATGCTTTATAAACTCACTCCTAACATTTCAGAAGCCCACACACCAAAGCTCAGCATGATACATACCCAAGCAGCAGAATTAATGACCTATTGTGCTGACTCAGTGTGCAGTTAGAGTTAATTCCATTTTTAATGCTCTGGTCTCCCCAAAGGCTGAAGATTTCCATTCTGGTGACTTACTAATGGGATGCAAATCCTGGGGAGACATTCTGTTTGTATTTGAATGTATTTCATGCCTAGTTGCACTAATTGCTTTTCTATTTTTACCCCACACCCATCACTCTCTACATCTCAATTAATCACAGAAACAGAGGGCAAGCTTTTTAGTGTGTGTGCTCATCTGAATGCATTTGTC